TGATTAGCCTGTTGTTGACGTTTCTGGGCATCAAGTTGAAGAAAGTCCTCCCACTGCTTTGCATGCATGCCCCTCAGGGTAGCCAATTTCTTCATGTGGTTCTCTCTTATATCCCTAATCGCCTTTTATCCATATAATAAAAAGTCAGCAACAAGAAATTTGTACCAAGAGTTCAAGTCTTTTTAAAACAATTACGATTGGCAAGAAAACAGGCAGGGTAGAGATATACATGTTAAGAGTTATAGGATGGGTCAATAGACCAGTTATCACTTCCAGCAAGAATAAAAGACATAAAAGTGTTTCTCGTTTTATTTGTTCCCAGAGTTGTAAGGTAGTCAATACCTCACGATGTCCGTAATTTTCTTCATCTTCTTCCTTGTCACGAATTCTTCCAAGTTCCGTTGCCTCTCTTTTGTACGCCAATTCTAATTCTTCTAATGTCTGAGAGGTGGCAGAGTAATCAAACTGACGACCGGATTGCATATCAGATCCTTCTTTATCAGAATTCCATCCATCATTTCTATAAGCAGCCATGCTCCGATTATGACCATCATATGAATTATATGAGTTTCTCATATAAGGGGCACGAGCTGGAGAGTTTGAATGACTTGGTCGACCTCTAGCTCCGACATTACCATAAGCTTCATGAAATGAAGAGTATGTTAAGCACTTGATTCAAGATGCTAACACAGATGGCAGCTTTAATTCAACATAATATCTTATTTTCAGAGAGAAACCATCTGAGGCAAAATTTCTGGATAGCTTTCAGTAAATGATTTCATTTCGGAAACAACCCGATCAATTCAGACCCAACCGTGAAAGCTACTTCAGAACTCTACACACAATTCTTGAAGATAGGAACTTACCTCTTGCTGCAAACAAATGATAAGCAACAACCCGATTCTTTGATAAATTGGAAAGATTTTACAGACAGCAGGTAGAAAATTGTATACGAACCTAACGAGCTATGAACATGACTTAACAGCTCCCTATATACATCGTAAACATATCCTATGCTGTCCCTACCTTGCGGAGAAACCCTGGAAATTTTCTGCATATCCTGACGTATTCGGTCTTCAACAAATTTCTCTTGCCTGTGGAACCTTTGTTGAAAATGTGACCCGTTTCGGGGACCAGAATGAGACCTTTGGGATTCAGAACGTTGTAAACGCGCACCAACAGGACTTCGCTCAGGTGACCTTGATCTAGTCACTCGAGAACCAGAACCCTCTGTTTGTTCGCCTTCCTCTCTAATCATTTTGTGCACAGCATCCACACCCTTTCTTAATACTAACCTGTCCTTGCCACTGACAATGATAAATTTCTCGTCCATCTTAATATTGCATCCAATATCGTTTTCAATCCTGTTTATCACTCTCTCAGTGAAAAGGGACCTTACATGCTTTTCTCTAGCAGGTACCCTTTCAAAGAAATCTTGAGACTTGCGACTTGCACCGAGGGTAGATGGGCAACCCTAGGAATTACCAAAATGCATCAGAACATGTTATCATAAAGAAAAAGTAACACCCTGAGATAGAAGAACTAAAAAGTCTAAACATGCTATGAGGTTATATTAGCAATTGAAAAACACTTTGTAGTATAAGCAATTGAAAAACAAAAAAGGAATGCGTTTGCGTATGTGTATGTGATTTTGCATAAAGGTGGCCAGATATTAGAAGAAACTAGAAGCAAATGAAGCACTAAAGTTTTACCTGAGTAAAGTGGCCAGGTTCCCCACAGATTTTGCAAATCATTTCTTCTTCCTTCCTCTTCTTCCAATTCCTCTCAGTTGCTTTTGACTTGGCCTCCCACACCTTAGCTTCTCGGCTAGTAAAGTCGGTCGGGACGGCATTGGGGTCGCGAGATTCCTCTTCCTCATCAGACCCGGCAGGAGACCTTTTGTTTGGTTTTGCCCTATCTTGTGTGTTAGCGGCATTTGACCCAGGAGGGCCAGTGTACTCCTTGTATAGCTCGCTAAAGTCGTCATCGATATCCGGGTCTGGTCTCGTTTCCATTATTTCAACCTTATGAATTCTAAACATTCCACAACACAAACCAAACCTCATCAATATCTTCTACAGCCAACAAATTACACAGAAAAGGGTAAAGAACATAACTTTAAGCCTTATCGATATTGAATTTCTACGAAAACCCAAATCCCAATAAGATTAAGTTCACTAATTACTAAGCAAAACACTTGCAGAAATTTATAAACAAAAGCAACAATCAAGATTAAAAATTGATATCAGGATCTGCTACTTTGAGTAGAAAATCCCCATGAAAATTGAAATTATAACAAAAATAAATACATAAATAAATCGATTACTTGATTGTACAATAAACATAAAAGGGCAAATTAGGGGCCGACGATTAAATGCATGAAAAAATTTACATAAAAATTGAATTAGATTTGGTGTACGGAATAGTTACCTGGAGAGTGAAGATAGTGGAGCCGCAAGCAGAGGTTTTAGGACGTCGACGAGGAGAAAGCCTAAAGCTTTAGCTAAGAAGGCCTGGGCTAGGGCTGGGTTTTTATTACCCACTTACCGCCTGCTGAATTTTCTTTTCTGTCTTTTTTACAATATTTATCCACACCACAAAAACAAATGATTGTTTTGACACAAAAAAAAAAAAAAAAAAAGTTTATGCGTGGTCAGTATACACGTTTTTTTTTTTTTTTTTTTTTATTTTTAACAAACATTATCTACCCTCAAGGGTAGAGAATGAGTTTAATCTCACACTATGTTAGTAATAATATGGTTCGAATTCATCTTTGACGAAAATCGAACTTAAGACCTCTCATTTACAAGTAAAGAGGAATATCACTAGATCGTATTATTAAATAACAGTATACACATGTTTACATATTTTCAAATTATATTTCTGTTTTATACAGCATACAATTCTCTTTTTTTCAGCTGTTCTTTTTTTTTTCATTGTTTTTAATAAGAAACAATAGTAGTTTTATTCATCACTACAATTTTTTAAGGAGAACATTTTGGAGCAACTTCGAGCCTCATCAAACCAATAACTGGTAAAATTGGAAATAAAGGCAAGCTTCAGCGTTCTATGTGTCCTTACATTACGTATGTATGAACATGACAAGCTTAGGCTAGTTTTAATGTCTTCAACAAGCAAATCAAAGGCGGAAGAACCACCCTGCGGACTTCCGAGAGCTTTGGGTCACCTGCAAAGCATCACCAACCTGTAAAGCATCACCTTACAATATGACTTGCTGCTAATTCCATTCCAAGGCCAAACAAACACCTTACAATATGACTTGCTGCTAATTCCATTCCAAGGCCAAACAAACACCTTCTCGTCATTTTGTTGAGAATGAGTTCTACATTAATATGAAAATGAACCTTGTATGGGCTTATAAGAGTACCCCATATTACTAATTGGTTTTATGATGAAAACTCAACTTTTTTTATGGTATTAGAGCCAGTTGTCACATGTATGAAGTCCAATGGTCACACGTGCTCCATGTCACCCGAGTTGTGTTATCCACGTATTAAGATTGAAAATTCGTCACATGTGAGGGGGCGTATTGAGAATGAGTCCAACATTGATGTGAAGAGAGACCTTGCATGAGCTTATAAGAGGTTGGGCTACTGCTCCATATTGTCAATTAGTTTTATGGTGGAATTTCAACTTTCTTCACATTTATTACTTGAACAGTTACGATTAAGTCACGTCAATATTTTGTGTTGAGTTCTTTCAATCCTATTCTTTTGCAATCTTTTTTTTATTTGAATGGTTACAATTAAATCACATCAATATGTTGTGTTTACAAAAATAAAAGTGTGAGACTGGACGAGAAGGTGAGGGGATTTGGAGGCGTAATATTCAACAATTCACCATATCTATATACAAGATACGGCTACTTATATTTCCATTTGCGCGACTCCACCATTTTAGTGTGGTGCAGAGAAGTTGTGAAGCTGGAGAGGCACGAAACCATCAGGATTCAGGTGTCCCACCAATCCTCTTTAGACCTCACATCCAGAGCATAAGGCCCTTGGTTTATAGGAATTCTGACTGTTCAAGAGAGAAAAAGATATCAGGATCCTTGTTTTGTATGAGATGGGTGAGCAAAATGATTTAATAAATACCGTCGAATTCAATTTAAGCAATTCGGATTACTAGTTTCTTGAGCTCCGGACAGTGAGATCCGAAGAGGATCTCTATCCTTGCCCGAAATTTGTACCATAGACCAATTATTTTACATATAATCTGAAGTAATTATTCCCAATTAGAAAGTTTATCTTTGGCGCTCACCGCCCATATGATGTGAAGTTGATCATCCACTCAACATGTTTGTTATTTATCTTGTGTTTGCTGAACTTTTTGAAGATTCTACCCAAACCAAGCGCCTTTGTTCGGTTCCCACCCATTTTACCAAAAAGGAAAAAGAAAGAACCAAGTGGTGGAGAAATGTACCAAATACTATCCAACCAATTCTCTCTCGATGCCAATTGGATTTAGATTTTCCACCAACTAAAGAAGAGATATTTGGAGAATTCCCTTTACAGGTATGTTTAAAGATGATAATACAGAGAACGAGGACTCGTTAAATCAGTAATAATTTGTTTGACGGTATTTATAATTCGATGTTCTTTATTCCAATAAGTAAATAAAGTGAATATGAAAACAATGCGACGGTACTTGTTAATATCTATAATATCACTGCAAAGAGGGTCGAAATCCACATCTCCAATCTCATTATTATTCAAATTCAATGAATCGAATGTGGAGGGTGAGATTTGTTGGCATACAACAAAAGAGGGCATTTTAAGTGAATTCCCTTTCTCTAGAATAACGCTTTTATGGGAATTCTCTTGAGAAAAGGTTTTTTCCTTAATTAAAACGATATTTTATTTTAAAATAACTTGAAGTGAATTGTTATGACACTTTAAAATTTTCATTTTACATTTAAAGTTTTTTATAATTAGAAAGAAAAATACAATTGTGATGAGTGTAAAATAAAATTTTTGAAGTGCTAATAATAACAGTTCCCTAACTTGGAATTATTAGGTGCATGAGAGAGGGTACATTCGTTTTAATCAATGTAAGCTATATTCATGTTTACACTTCTGCTGTAACTTCATTAAACTTGTTAAATACGCAGTTTCAAGTGCAAATGGCTAAAAAAGGAGTGAAATTTGTTATACGGAGAAACAAGAAGTCGACCAAAAAGAGAAAAAGAAGTAGGTGTGGAGAGTCTGGCGACCGTCCAAAATCCTAACCCTCAGATCATGACTGCCCGCAGTGCTGACTAGTATCCAAATCAAATCAATGCACATTCCTTCAACAAGAAAAACAAAGATATAAGGACAAACAAGACGTCAGACGATCGAACTAAATAAACAACCCCCCATTTTTCTCTATTTACCATAATCATCCTCCTCCTCACCTCTCTTTCTCCTCTTTTAGGCTCTTCCACACAAACCCCCAAAAGGGAAAAATACGGGAAAAAAAAAATCAAAATAAAAAGAGGTAAAAGAAACAGAAAGAAAATCTAGCTACCTGCATTGGATTCAAAAGTCTATGTTCCATCCATGTTACATAACATAACCATCATCTGGATCACCATCTTAACACAGAAAGTCAGTAAGTAAACCAAATTAGCACATAATTAAGTAGCACTGATGGATTGGAATGATCTCACTATCTGATGATGATCATATATATATATATAAGGGCATATATCTTCTACTCTTGCTTCAGCATATGAGAGGGGACTATGTCTTGAAGAAGGCCATGGTCAGCTAACAAAGCAGAACCGGTTGCCGGGGAGCAAAACCACCTTTCGGGATGAAGAAAGCCAGCGGTACTAGTAGCATTTGTAAGACACAATGAAGAGCCATTCACATAATAATCACCAAAATTAATTGGTGCCGATGAAGGCGAAGAGGAGTTGCTATCTGCAAATGGTTGCACTTGTTGATAGTCATGAGTAAATAGGGTTCTTGTGGGGATTAATGGCATGGCAAAGTTATTAGCTGGAAAAGCAGAAGCTGCAGGGAGAGTCGGGCGAGGCAGAAGTGGGCTGCGATGAGTGTGTTGTCCTTCATAAGTAGTTACAACAATGCTCGGATCGTCGAAAGATCGCTCCACTCGCTTCTTCACATTACATGATGCACTTGTGCACCGATAGTAACTCCTACAAAACATATTATCATTTCATCACATCACCAAAATTTAATTATGCAATACATATATATATAATTGAGATTCTGATTGAAAACCCATTATTAAATTAATCTCCTGGTTTCGATACATTCAAACCAACAATGCAGAAATTCAAATGGAAGTGATTAATTTGGCTCTGAAGTTTTAGTACCTTGGAAAGGGGCTATTTTTGACAGCTTTTTGGCCGTACTTTCTCCATCTGTAGCCATCTTCCAGATGATCAACTTCGCTCTTTGTCATGAATGCAAATCTGGGTTCTCTCTGCCTTTTCCGACTCGCCTTCTTTGCTTTCAACCTTTTCTCCGATCCCAACACAAGAAATTACAAATGCATTAATATCTCACCTTTCACAAGGCTTTTTATTAATTTGACTTACCCTTTTACCCAAAATCCCAAAAATTTCAATTTCCCAGAAAACCCATCTCTATCTTGATCTGTTACGAAATGGGTTATCTCTCAAACACAAATTTAAAGCAAAGAAAAGCAAGAAAATAATTAAAAAGTAAAAAACTCACTCTTTCTTGGTCTTTTGTTGCTCGTCATGTTCTTCTTCTTCATTATTTTGCTCTTGGTCTGTAGCAGCCTTATGATCAGTGTGTTCTTCGTTCACTGCCTCGCTTGATTCCGACGATATCGACGAATAGTTTGGTGTTGTAGGCTGCTGATTCAAAGAGGAGTAGTCAGTAGATAACTGATCTTTTCCTCCCATTGTGGAAGCTAATGAAGGCAGGACTGTCGATGGTGTCTGAGGCAGATAATCAAATAGGGAAGTGGGACAATAGTCCTGTCCAACCCCAACCCCCAAAAGTTCCATAAACCCTAAAGATGAACTCTTTTCTCCTTCACAGAAATCAAACATGCCTGCAAATGGTGATGTGGTAAGTCCACCTCCTCCTCCTCCCCCATTCATATGGTTGCTATTAATGTTGTCCTCCCTCTTCACCACATCCTTCTTCACATTCATAGCTCACTCTCAGTACACACGCTACTATCTATACTTCTTCAAATCCTAGATAGAAAGAGAGTAAGAGAGAGAAACTGGGCTTTGTTTGTCTGAGAGAGAGAGAGAGAGAGAGAGAGATTAGGGTAGGTCTGAGATATGGTTTATAAGATATTTGGAAGAGAAAGAGGAGAGAGTTTTGGGGGTAGGATTGTGGGAGAGTGAGAGAGTGAAAGAGTTTTGGGTTGGCCTCAAACATTGACCGGCAATTGGAGGTGCAGGGTTTTGTACAGAGAAAGACAGATTTTGCAGTGGCAACAAAAAAATTGAATGCATTGCATGGTTCCGACAAACCGGGCGACGCTTTCATACTTGGGCCTTTGACCGTTTAACCAGTTTATTTATTTATTTTTTATTTTTGTAGTGTGAAGAGGGTTTCGTTACGCGTTAGCTTCTTACGGCTACACAGACTACATGAATGTGAACCAAGCTTCTTCTTAGTGAGCTTTTGATTATTTGATAATTGTAATCCTTATCGACTTAATTAAATTTAGTTTGGGAGACCAAATTTTTAAACTAAATTTACAAATTAAACGATATGTCACTAATAAAAGATATTCATGTTAATTAATACTTAAATAATAATCTAACCATCAACGTTGATATCATTTAGTTTATCAAATTTAATTTAAAATTTTAATGTCCCAAGCATTATCCATTGAAATATAGTCAAAGCAAAACCATATTATGAAATGCAGGAGAATTAATTAATGGGAATGTAGTGGCCTTTTGTAATTGGTGTTGCAGGTGAAGTACATATGATGGATGATATGTTATGTCCACGAAGAATAAATTAATTAACTAGAATAATAATTACGGGATGGACTTCATAACATATATTACTTTATTTGGAGATAAGAGAGAGATACTTAGATACACAGAGTGAGAGTTTCACACTTCACTATCGCAGCAAAACGGTAGTGTTAATATTATACAGAAATTCCCACACTTATTGAAACACTACGGCTAAGTTCTTTGTTTTTCTTTTTTAAGAGATCATCGTCAGTCCACTGTTTTGTGGGCACAAAGACTCACACAGATCATCTCTAAAAGAATTAGCTTTTTTTTTTTAAAAAAAAAGTGTCATTTGCTAATTCATTTGGCACTTTTATCCTATTCTTAAAATTTATCATTCAATCCATTATTCAACAACTCTTCAAATTTTATCATTCACTTTAAAATACTATTATCTTTAACTTATTTTATCTTTTGGGCTCCAAATTTTTTAACTCTTTACAAAATAATATTCTTGAATAAAACATATTGGGGAACCAATTTGCTAACTTGAAGAAGTAGTAACTGACATTGTATACTAATTGGGTTGCTACCTCCGTTAGAGATGCGTTTTTCCTACATGACATAACAAATTTAACTTTGCTACCCAACTGCATACCTCCTTAGAGATGCTCTATAGTAGGCGGACGACCTCTTTAACTGATTCGGAATGCTAAAATTAGGAATTTTTTTGGTAATAGTCTAGGTTTTGAGATCAATCGGACTAGGAGCGCATAACTAATCACATTGATATTCATTTACACGACCCAACAAATATTGAGTTTACCATGAACAGACATTAATGCAATTATAAGTGAACTATTCAATATAAATTATATTTTGTTTAATTTAATTTTCAATATGAGATTACATTGTTCAACAATAACATCAGAATAATTAAGAGAGTATCTACTAAACCAAAAATAATATCCATAATCCTTATCGCAAATAAAATCAATGAACAGGATGAACTTTAGGTGGAAATCATGTAGGACGTAACCAAATTTATATACCATACGATAAGAGTATCAACTTTTTTAAGGTGTGAAATCGTGTTTTCTTAAAATGTATAAGTGTATTATATTCCTTTAGATATAGTCGGTGATAAAAACCCTACTTTGATCTTGCACCGAATAGAGATAAAAAAAAAAAAATACCTACAGGAGTAAAGAAAAAATAAAGAGAGAAGAGATGAAAATGCCAAGGAAACAATCGTCTTCTCTCTTCTCTTTTGGTGGTGAAAATTGTGTTTGTGCAGGGCAAAGTTCACCCGTGCACGTGTGGCGTACTACGCACACGAACACACGACAGACACAAAGATAACATGCTGACACAATTTCTGTGTAACGCCGACTGAATTTGCATGCTCTAATTATGCTGTTTCCAACTTTTTTTTGGTATGAAACCTTTAAGGGAAGGAATTTTCATATTTTTATAAAAATAAGAATTAGTTGTGGAGATCACACAATATCAAAGTTTAACAATTCGAACCGTCTATTTTTCAAGTTACACTTTATAGATCATCCTTGTAAAATATTAGCCAAATCAGGAATGTTTAAGACATCTAATTAAGTTCAAAGAAATTAACAAATACTTTGTTATATAAGAAATAATTTATCTTGATTATTAAATAGACAAATAGTTTTGGATTGAATTATATTTTTGCAAAAATGATTTATGAATCGAGACTTAAAAAATAAACGGTTCGATGTGGAGTAGGCCCCACACATAATCCCCATTTTTTGAAAAAAAAAATTGGAAATCCCTTTGCATAAAGGGCCTGTTTCTTGGTAAAACAATAATCACTTCATATTCTTATTAATATATTTCGAGTAAGAGATAGTTTAGTACGTACTCTCAATCTGAGTTCGAATTTCTACGAATATTCTATTAGTTGCCGGCTTTGTTTGACGTATTATTTGACTCGAAAGAGATAAAAGTACAACGTATCTCATTTAACACCGAAGCTACATAATAAGAAAATCAATTTGCTATCAATATATGGTAGATAATTCTTATATTTTAAATAAAATGTTCACAATATTTTGATCACTTTCTTGTTCTTTTGATTTTATTGAGCGCCATTCATGCATGCCAAATGCAAAAAGAACAAAATCATTGAACATCTTAGTCTTTTGTATATATGATTGTCCTCTCCTATGCTTTCTTAACAAAAGGCTGTGGGTGTTGATGCATCGATCCCGATAATAATATCATATTAAACTGGATACACTCAAGCATATATATGCATGCTGAGGTCATAATGCTTTTATGTGAGCTATGATATTCCAAGAAGCCATCATTGCAACCCCTCCTATTATTATTCTTTAGTTTATAAATCTTACTTGCTCAAGTTTCTTGTACGATTGATGTTGTTATCGACACACTTTTTAACGTGTCCGAAAAACTAGATAGTAAGTCTTATGTTATAAATGCAAGAAGGGGTTTTTATTATCTTTTTCATATATTTTTTTACTTTTGTAATTATATATGACGTGTGTTTTGAGCATACGGAAAAATCTCTAATTATTATCCAATACTAATACAGTAGAGCATTGTCAATACATATTAGAAGGCTTGACTACTAGATTGTTGAGTTTAAATTTCTTTGTTGAAAGTTAGATGTAATTTTGAACCACGGTTATGTATGTAAGAAAACAAAGTACAAACAGTGGCGAAGCTACATAGAAGCGAAGGGGGACGGTCGCCCCTCCTCTCGCTGGAAAACAAAGGCAGAAGTGAGGCTTGAACCCCTCTGTTTCGGCCAGAATCTGGGAACCATGGTGGTTCCTGGTTCGAATCTGAGAACTGTGAGCTTGCAGGTTTTTTTTTTTTTTTTTTTTTTGTAATTTTTAAATCTAGGGCAAAACAACGTTGTTTTGGCCCTGGTAAAAAAAATTAATTTTTGTTTGGTAAACGACGTTGTTTTGCATTAATCAAATAAAAAAAAAATTAAAGAGGGAGGGACCATTGGTCCCCATCCCAATCCTCCCACATGTTTCAATTATTACCCCCACCCTTGCCCATAAATTACAAATCCCATCCCCCCACCTTTATTCCCAGATTTTAATTTTCAAAATTGTCTCAAATCCCAAAATTGAACACAAGAAAGCCCTGTTCCATTGGCCACCAAACTCCAGACGCCACCTTTTTAAATTTACGGTTATCGATTATAGATTATTCATATGAATACTATGATTATTGAATTTTTTTTGAAGTACATAAAAGATGATTCATACATTATATATATTATAGGAACTTGAATCACACATGGTCTAGTAATAAAAATTGATTGCAGTAACCGCTATAAACCCTAATCAACTTACTCAAATTTTAATTGTGGTTTAGAATAAAAATTGAATTCTTGATTATTCATATGATTGTTAGTATTGATTAATTAATTCGTGATTGGATTAGATATTACCCTATAGTCTACTCTAGGATTAAGAGTCTAAGATATTTTTTTTCTTTCGTTATACAGTTACGTCATGGAACGATACTATAAGAAAAAGTGCTTAAATCTTTCTCCAATTATCGCGAAGCAATTCGTAGATACTACCTCCAAAATGAACCTTGTTAACCTAAATCTCACAAAATGAACCGGGAGGTGTGAAAGCTATATGTTAGTGTATAAACTTTTTACATTGGCTTTGGTGTTACCGGTTGTAGCCGTTTCGATGGAGAGAGCTTTTTCTGCTATGAAGATTGTGAAAACATCATTGCGTAACAAAATAGGAGATCAATGGTTAAGTGATAACATGATTATTTACATTGAGAGTGATGTATTTGCTTTTAAAGATAATGAGCCTATTATGCGACTTTTTCATGACATGAAACATTGCCGACAACAACTATAATTTATTTGTATTGATTAATTATGGAAACGTTACTATATAAAAAGATTCGCTTGTTGCCATTTTTCTTTAACCTTGCACGCATATAAGTTCGCCCTACCCCCGAGAATAATTGGCTTTGCCACTAAGCACAAATATAGAAAGAATAAAGAGAAGGTGGTGTATTAACCCACTCCTTTTCATCTTCAACACTCTGTCTTAATTTTTAGTTATAAGATATCTCTACTAATTTATAAAATACTCATTGTTAACCAAAACCTTATGAAATTACCAGTTTAACCCTTTAATTAAAACAGAATATGAATAAGAAATATGGGGTAGAAATGTAATTTCACACAACCAAATTTTGCTTTTTTTTCTTCAAAGCCTCACCTACATGTAATCCTAACATATCTCTAATTAAAAAATAAAAAATAAACCTTTCACTCTCACATTCTCTGTCACTCTCTTCCTCTCTCTTCTTCTATTTCAAAAACAAAAATAAAAAAATTCTCACACATTTTGTGTGTGCTCATATGCTAGTAATAAATTAAAAAAAATAATCAAATGACATAAATTAACAAAAAATGTCTAGGAG